AGTACAACAAATTATGTCAAACCAGCAGGAAGAGATTGAGAGAAGATCTTAGAGAGCACAACACCATGCGAGTGAAGGAGGCAATTGAGAGTGGGAAAGGATTGAAAAGAGCAAAAGAAAAAGAAGGCTGCAAAGTTCTTATACCAGCATTGAAAGAGCAAGATGGAACCGTCATCACCAACAGAGAGAGAATTCTTGAGAGGTGCGCAGAATTCTATGAAATGCTATACAAAGATGCAGCCCAGAACATCAGAAAAGAAGAAGCAGAGGATGTACCACCAATCCTTGATAGTGAAATCGAGCATGCCATAAAAGGTATGAAGAATAACAAAGCACCTGGAGAAGATCAGATTGTGATTGAAATGCTCAAAGCCGGAGGTGAAGTTGTGAGATCAAAGCTGAGAACACTCTTCAATAGAGTGATGACTGAAGAAAAGATACCCAACGAGTGGAAAAATGCCATTATAACACTCATATTTAAGAAGGGAGACAAGAAAGACCTTTCTAATTATAGACCAATCAGTTTACTCTCCCAAGTCTACAAACTCTTCATGAAGATCTTGAAGAACAGGTTGAATAACAATCTGAGTGACCACCAGCCGCCAGAACAAGCTGCCTACAAAAGAGGTCATTCAACCATCGACCATCTGCAGTCAGTAGTGCAAATACTCGAGAAAATCAATGAGTATAAAATACCCATTCATATGGCGTTTGTAGACTACGAAAAAGCCTTTGATTCTGTACTGCACAAGGCTGTTTTTGAAGCGCTAAAACAGCACAGCGTAGAGGAGAAGTTCATCAACATCCTGAAAGAGACATATGATGGAGGCACTGCTCAGGTTCGGAACGAATCACTTAGCCGAAAGATTAAGATCATGAAGGGTGTGCGGCAAGGAGACACCTTGTCACCAGTGATGTTCACAGCAGCGTTGGAAGAAATATTCAGGAGAATGGAAGTTGAAGTGGGAATTAACATCAACGGAGAGAGATTGAACAACCTGAGATTTGCAGATGATATCATCTTATTTGCAGAAAAGGAAGAGGATCTCAGCAAGCTGATCAACGATCTGAACAAGGAAGGGAGAAAAGATGGCATGAAAATGAACAGAAAGAAAACGAAAATCATGTGCAATGAAATAGCTAGGAAAAGAAGAAGGAAAGGAATAATTGTGGATGGAGAACAACTGGAGGAGGTGGATGAGTACAAGTACTTGGGAAGACTGCTAACACCAGGAAATGAGATGGCGAAAGAAATAGACGAGAGAGTAACATCTGCTTGGAAGAGATTCGGACAGTACAGCACGTTTCTGAGAGATCAAAGAATGCCCATGTGTCTCAAAAGGAAGATCATGAACACTGTCATACTGCCATCAATGACGTATGGAGCTGAGACATGGTCACTTACCAACCGCCAAAGAGAGAAACTGGCAGTCACCCAGAGGAGCATGGAACGATCAATGCTGGGTGTTACGAGGAGAGATAAGATCAGGAACGAAGACTTAAGATCAAGAACAGGGGTGAAGGATGTCATCGAGAAAGTGATTGAAGCCAAAGGCAAGTGGGCAGGACATGTGGCACGAATGAAGAACCACGAATGGGCTAAGAAAACGACAGAATGGACTCCGTGGGACAAGAAGAGAGGAAAGGGAAGACCAAAGAGAAGATGGAGAGATGAGATCGAGCAGAAGGCAGGCAGCACGTGGACCCAGAGTGCCCAAAACCGTGATGAGTGGAGAAAGATGTGGAGGCCATCCGCCAGCAGTGGTGTGACAGGCTAATGATGATGATGATGAGATTGACTGCATATTGTTTTATACAGTGTATCAGAAGTTTACATAGCTTATGAAGAAATGCTACCCTGATGTTCAGTTGAAGTGTGTATTCAGACCACCAGTGGCGAGCGTCCGGGTATTCAAGGTATTCTGTGACTACCCTGAGATTTCTCAGAAGTCCTGCACGCTGAGAAATAAGGAGCGTACAGCCTAGAAATTGGTTCAAAATAGTCTCGCTTTGAGATCGATGTAAGCAGCTAATGGACGTCGGAGCGGTTGGAATGATGGAGCTTCATCGAAAACAGTAAATACGACTTCTTTCAAAAACTATTGCAATGTACGTCTTAGTGTTTCATAATCATTCTCTCATTTGACCCCTAATCTTAATCTATCAACAGCAAAGTGGAAAGGAAAGGTAGGCTTCTGCATAATACTACACTGACTCAGATCTGTGCCCTTGAAATGCCAATGTTGTTATTGCTTGTCAGTTAGGGATGCTTCTGTATTATGTGATAGAATATAATAAATGCAGATTGGCTTGGATAATATCTTTATAGTTGCCTGGTGCATTCAGTTATATTGTTGCCCTATTTTGTTTGCATTATTCGAGCACATTCATTTGCATTATTGTGCAGTCTCATCTCATTACCTTCGATACTCTCAAACATTAACTTGTATTGAAAATGTCACGATTAGGCAATGAAGAAAAAAGTCTAGACTGCATACCACAAACTATATATAACTCCTATAATGCCCGATGTGAATAATTTCGAAACTTTCGAAAGCCTTTTTGCATTAGGGTATCAAGAGTAGGTGTTTACAGTTACTTCCTCTTTACATCAGTTCATATTTTAGAGAATTCAACAACAACTATTGTGACATATTTCGACCAGTATATTTTTACTGAAGTTCAATGATATGTTTTGATTTGGATTACTTTTGATGAAATTATGAGTTCGAAGAGTGTATTTGCATTGCGTTCTTCAGCAAAGTATCGTTGTTTTCATCATAGTAACACCCTGACAGTGCAGTACTTGCCAACCGAACCAAAAAGAAAATAGATAAAATGTCGATAGCTAGTCCTTTTAATCTTCCTTTTATCCTCCTGTTTTCACCAAGCCCCACCGAGCCTCACCCTACCCCACCCTTTTCTTTGATAGAGAATATCCAGTTGAAAAAGTCACACTACGTGACTGGTGATCAACCTCTATGGATCAACTTTTGGAAATAGTCTGGAATCTTTGATAGTAATAACTCTTCCTTTGTGTGAATGAAGGAAAGGTCACAATAGCAAACTGCTCGACGGACTCCGATCGATGGAATTCTTGCCTTGAAAAATCGATAGAATCGCATCAAGGAAATCCTGATAAAGAGTTATGCTCAAAGCATCGTACCGAATATTCATTTCTTGTACAAAGTCGTCATTTTATTGCAACTAATTTTGTTCATTTTCGATGCACAACACGCACAACTTCATTGATTATCAAATAAAGAGCCCTGCAACAAACTGAGAACAAACAACAATA